CCACGCCCGCCTGGTGAGCTCCTCCAGGCAGCGTTGAAACCCCCCTCGCACCGCGCGATCCACCCGTGCGGCGTAACCCGACCCGGACGGGGGTTCCCCCCCCCCGGCGAGGTAATTCTCCCCGAGCGCCCGGACGGCGACGATCGCCGACTTTAATTGCCGCGTGAGGGCCTGCACGGTGGCGATCACCGCCGCGCCGGTGAGGTGGGGTTTCGCCAGCACCGTTTCGCCATCCTCGGCGATCCGTTGAAGGCACCCCCAGGCGAGCCCCGCAAGGCCGGAAAAGAGGGGCTCCAGGAGCTCCTCCAGGACCGGCTCGACCGCCGCCGCGACCCGCCGCGCGACGGCCGCGCGATCCATCCGATGCATCAGCGAATACACCCGCTCCGTGTTCACCGAAAGGATCGCGCAGACGGTCTTGAGTTGCGCGAGGGATTCGCGCAGGTTCGCGTTGGATAGGGCCGCCGCGGAGGCGCCGGGGGGGGGCGCCGGCCTCGGCGGCTTCAACACCGCCCGAATCTCCCGCAGCACCGCCGCGGCGCCTTTCGCGAAGTTCGCCACGACGCCGCGCATCAACACGCCGAGGATGGCCTCCTCAAACGAGGGGTCCTCCCCACCGCGGAGGGGCGTCTCCGCGAGGACGGCGGTGCACCGCAGGAGCCGGAGGTCCTCCACGTGGCGGCGGATGTTATCCATCGCCTCCGGGTCGTCGAGCGAAACCGCACACATCGCGGCCTCCAGACGGCCGTACAGCTCTTCCGCGAGGGCGTGGCATTCCGATCGAATCGTCGCGATCCGCTCGACCGCGATGTGCTTCGCGAGGAAGCCGTCGCCCCCTACCCAGCAGCGCACGCAAAGGTTATACTCCCCGCGATCCATCAGCCGCCGCATCGTGTGCGGCAGATCGACGAGGAACTGAAGTTTTTTGAGCATCAGGTTCGTCGCGATGGTTTTCTCGATCCGACTGCGATGCTCGGAGAGCTTTTCCGTAATCCCTTGCGAGACCTTGTCGATGTTGGCCACATTCGAGGAGAGCGCCTGCAGCTTGGATTCCATTTGCACCACGTTATCCTTCATCTCACGAATCGTGTCGGTTGCGGAGATGAACTTGGAATAATTGCGATACACCAACTCCTGTAGCTCCCGATCCAGCCTGCTTACGCTAAGCAGAAGCTCTGTATCGGTTTCGACAAGGCCTTTGAGGCTTTTATGGCGAAGCAGCTCCGTGGTGTACTTCGAGACGTTGAAAAGTTCGGAGTCGAGATCGAGCGCGGGCGGTACGATGACACCGGCTTGCTTCGGTGCATCGAGGGTCTGGCTCTCACTGGCGTGGCGAGCGCCGTAGAAATTACGCATCTGCTGACGTAAGCGCTGCCGGCGCTCATCAGGATCCATTTTTAGAAATCGAAATCACGCAAAAAAAAAAAGATATATATAAATTTATATATATTTTTGTATATCTATATATTATATAGATATACTCGCTATCTATTTTTGTCCTTGGGTTGACTTCTCTATTCCTTTGAAATAACGCCCATGAAGAGGTGTAAAGGGGGAGGAGGAACCTTGAGACTACGACACGTACTCTGCTCCGCCCTCAGCGACGTAGGGGAAGCGCAATTGCCATTAGCAAGAGGGAATCAAACGGGTACACCCTACGGATTTGCAGATTTTTACCTCAGTTGCTGCGCAGACAAATAAAAAAGGCGACCAAACGAGCTTCTTTTTTTTTTGCATGGTTTGTAATTTAGCTCTAGTTCGAAACCTTTGTATTTAACCATTCGCCTCTCCCTCCTCCCCATTCTTTCGCCAGGTCCTATCATTGGGAAACTATAAAGCGAAGACGGTGATTCGCGCACCCTGGAAAGTGATATATATATATATATATATCCCCCATCCAGCCGCCATATAGCCTGGCTACCCTCCAGGGTTGACTGGGGGAGGAGGTGGCGTAGCGAGGGGGGGGAGAGCCTTGTTCGCGACCTTGATGGAGGGGGCGTAGATCATCTTTTCCCCTACGCGTATCGACACCAACGGCGTCTGGGAGGTTGTTGGGGGTATTGGCGGCCCTCCGTCTACCGCCGTGCTCAACGCGGAGGATGGCGGGTTTCCCCCAACCGTGATATGCGGCGCGATCTGCATGGGAGGGAGCGGGGTGGCCGCGTTTCGCCCGACCACGGCCTGCTGATCCCGATAGATCCTCCGAAGGCGATCCTTCGCGATCGTCTCGTGGATGTCGTTCACCCACTGCGATTCGACGTTGGCGGCCATCGTGTAGTAGCCCTCCACCGCGTCGATATGCCTCGCGCTGACGAGATGCGCCCGCCAGCACTTTTGGCTGGTGCTGATGAAAAGATCGCAGTAATCGCAATAAAAGAGACGACCATCCGCCTCGTTATGGCGGCGTTGATATTGAAGTGCCTTACGACGCTGCTCGGGAGTCATGCGGGCGAGTCGACGGCGGCGTTTTTGCCGCTTTAATTCCTCATCTGAGAGGCCATTCGGGGGGTTCGTCCGATCGCTTTCGCCACGCCGCATCGCGACCCCGGAGGTCCCGAACGAATCGGAGTTGGGGAGCATCGCGTAGCTTTTGGGTTAGCCCTTTCCTTTCGTTTTTCCGAGGGGGCGAGAGGTATGCACCCAGGAGTAAGAAGACACCAAGACGAGAGAGAATATGGGGAGCAGAGGCACATATTGCATCTTTCCATTTTTATTTGAAGGATATCGGTAGGCTGCTGCACCAAACTCAGTTTTTATTCTATACACAAATAGTTTTTCTTTTTTTTTTAGAAGAGTACACACTACTGCACTGAGTTCTTAGGGTGTAGAGTAATGGGCAAAATGCTTCTATTGCTGACCCTTCATTCCCCCTTTTTACTTTTTTCCCCCTAGAGCTTTCAACCGGGTAAGAAATCACTGCTGCATCAGAAAAAAAAGAAACAACGAGAGTTATTCGTTTATTCAGCTGCACCCACAACATGCCGAGCAGAAATCAGAACACCTCCCCTTCTCCTCCCTCAATCCTCATGAGCGCGTACCACGACAACTTTGCGTCTAAAGAGTTTTGGGAGCCTCCCTTGGCGTGACAACATACTATTAGCCATTATTATCGCTATTAACAGGACCACAACACTGCAAAGCGTTAATGCGCGATGCGTATTGTAGGCTTGATGCTCGTTCCAGTGGTATTGCAGCTCTAGCACGTCGGGAACGCTCTCCGAGTAGGTGTACTCCACGCGAAAAGACGTGATGCGGTTAATAGCGCCGAGTTGGAAGCCAAAGAAGAAGTCAATATGAGATAGATACCGCACCGCGATTTCCCCTTCGCTCTCGAGGTTCTCAATCTGCTCTGGGAGTAAAAAACTTATCAGGGATGGATTTTTCTGGATCGAGCGGCGTACTGCGAGTGGTAACCACGTCGTTTCCTTTCTTAATCTCCCGCCGAGCATGAAACGTAATGCCATATGAGTATTTGAACTTTGGGGCGATGCCTCCAGCATCTCCTTCGCGCGCTTCATCGGCGCCTGGATGGGGAGCTCGGCTATCTTGTTTATCCCAAAACGAGGGGCGTAGATGGGTGGAATACTACGCGTCAGCTGCGCCTGGTGTTTCGTCCAAACCAAGACCTTCGTATCGGAAGGGGGATTGCGATCTGGCAGTTTGGTAGGTCGTTTTTGTTGCGCCTTTCCAAGATCTCCTTCCTCATCCCAGGCCGAAACGATGCCTGGCTCGACTTGTTTTTCAAAACGCAGGTAAAGCGTTACGGGCACCGTCCCACCGATATCCCATCCGACTGATCCAGAGATCGAAGCCGCCTGCACGATTCCCAGGGGGCTCCACGCCAACAGAGCCACCAAAATAAGGAGAACTGCCAATAGCCTGGGGGAACCGCCCATCAAGGACATTCCAAGGGGACTAAGAAAAGGCTACCCCCCCCCAAAAAAAAGATACTCGTGAGGGTATATCGAACGAATCGTTAGAAAACAATCCTTGACGTTGATGCACGCTTAGAGAAATGTAAACAAAACGAGGGGTGGGGAAAAGAAGGGGTGAACAACAAAAAGGAAATATACTCCTCCCTATTGGGGGTCTCATCCAGTTCATACTTGGTTTCTGTGCATCCACACACTTTACCATAAGTGTAAGCGAGGGAGGGGGACAGAGGTATTTTTTTTTTGCTTTGCCTAGCGATTTTACTTCTTCAGGTGTTTGGTCGATGTTGTAATCGGAGATCGATGGATGGACGCACGCGGCACCTTCCAAGGCGTTCCCACCCCACCCACTTTTCCAGGGCCCTTCGCAATCGTGGTCGTTGCCCCCGCACCCCCCTTCCACCTTGATCGCAAGACACGGCATGTTTGCCTTAGTGGATGATACGTTGCCGCGAGAAAGAGAATTTGAATAGGCAGCAGCTCGTTCGCGATGTTATGCCCGGTGCGTAGGGCGTTGAGCAGCTCCGGTGAGAGCTTGAACGGCCCGATGGAAAAGCTCTCGGTGTAGACGCCTTCGCTCCGCGCGATTGACCCTGTGAATGGGTAATGATACGCAAGGAGGGTGGATTCTACCCCCTCCGCCGTTAGGGCGCGGGTGTGGAGCGCGCTGGCGAGGATCCCCGTCAGGGCGACCTCCAAAATCAGTTGATAAGTCGCGAGCGACGTGAAGTTGGCAGCCAACCAACGCGCCGCGCGAGATCGCCTGCAGGCTGCCCCCCACCCCCCCCACATACGGGAGTTCGGTTTTGCATCGAAACGATTCGCGTTATGAATCCCACTCGCGGGGTGGCCGCTCACGGTAAACTTCGACGATGAAAACGGACGCCCCCACGCGAGAGGTCCATGGCCCACCCCCCCACATCGTTCGAAGAGACCGCGCGGAGCAAGCCCATAGCGCATTCTCGATTTGCTCTCTACGCACCCCCTTTTGTATGCTTTGCTTGACTTTGCCCACGTTTAATTGTTCATAAACGATCGAAAAACGCTCAATGGGGACTCCACACCTGACTCCCCTCTCGTTCAAGTAGGCTCAAAACCCTCTTTATAACCTTAGAATAAGACTCTGATGTGAGGAAGAACGAGCATCCTTATTTACAGCATAAAACACATACACCCCCCGCTACGCGTACGCGGGCATCCCATTGGTAGTGTTACTTCACGATGACGATGAGAGTGACTTCTCTTATGGACAATTATGAACGAATTCGAATTAAACGTGAGTTATTTAGGGTGTTTTTTTATTTTGCGCTTAGGGTGGGTATCGGACAAGGCGAGCGATCCTTTCGCGTCCCCTCGCGCGCGAACACGCTTTTTTTCCTCCGCGATTTCCCCTTCTTCAGGGGAAGGGGAAGGGGGAGAAGAGAAGCGGAGTGTGTAATGCTCGTTCATCACCTTCATCATATCATGGATTAGGGCGAGTGTTATCAGACGATCCGCGCGACCGTCCTCCTCGTCGATTTCCTCCTCCTCCTGCGGGCGATTCAAAAGGGAATGGATGCGGAAACCAAACGTCGACGCGGCGTCGACGGGGCGATCCCGATGCCGCCGCAGCACTGCACGAGCCGCCGCATTAGCCGCCTTGACATGTGGAGGGAGGGGATCTCCCTCCCCCTCCCGCTCCTCTTCTTCCTCTCCTGCGTTCTTCCTTTTTGCTTTTTCTTTTTCTTCCTCTTCGTCTGGCAACCCGAAAACCAACGCGGTGAGGGCGGCCTCCTCCGCGGCGTCGCTGGAGCTGCGTTCGAGCACCGCACGGACGAACCCCTCCCCGTCCGCGCAGCCCTCCAGGCCGAACTGCACCACCCTCCGCGCGAGCTTCGCGAACTCCCCTTTGAACCCTCCTCCTCCATTTTTTCCATTTTCATTTTCATCTTCGTCCTCGTTTTCGGGTTCGAATGGGCGAAGGAGGAGTTCATCCGCGAGGACGACGAGTGGGGGCCCACGGTGGCGCTCCCACGCGGCATTCCGCCGCGGCAGCGGCCGGGGCGCGAAGACGACGCTGCGGTCTACCGCGGCGACGAGCCGCCCCCCCCCCCCCTCGCATACTCGGAAAACGCCACGTCATGACGCCGTGCAGGGTGACCACGAAACGCGCGCCCTCCTCGTTGCCACCTCCGACGGCTTCCCTGTCCGCTTCCGCACCCGACGACGGCCGCGGGAGTTTTTGGATCGAAAGCGTCGCCCTGGGAAGGTGGTGCTGGACGGCCCCTCGCGCGGGGTAGAGGGTGTATTGGTAGGCGAGGAAACACCCCAGCCCCCCCTGCGCGACCCGCCGGATCGCGTCGCCGCCGCGGTGCAGGAGATCCCGCGCCCCGTTTCGCATCGCGAGGTCGAACAGCCGAAGGTCCTGCAGATCGCGCGGGCTGAGGGCGAGGCCGTGGAAATTTTCCACCCCTTCCACCTCCCGATCGAGCCGCATCCGGGCGGGATCGAACCACCGCAGCCCGGGCGCCACCGCGAAGGAAAACGTCGCGGCGGGGTGGAGGTAGCGGTGGGGGAAGGTATCCTCCTCCATCACCTCCTCCGTCAGCGCGTCGGGGGTCGGGGCACCCGAACCCGTTTTTTCACTGGCCTGCGCGAAGGCGCGCGTTTCCATCGCCGTCCGTGGGATTCGACGCGTCTCCCAGGCGTAGAAAAACCGCTCGAGGCTGTCGAGGACGAGGTCGTACTCCTTACGGGAGAGCCCCGCGTTTTTTTCAGGGGGGCCGGCCCCCTCGTGGGATGGTTTTTTCGCCGAACGAATCGTCGCGTCGTCGCGGAAGACGGGCTCGACGTGGGCGAGGGGCTTTGGGAATCGCAAAGGGGGCCGTCGGATGGGTTCCCCGTCGAGCGAGGTCAGGCGTGGCAGGGAGCGTCGAACCTGCTCCTGGTATTCCGGTTTCTGCGTGATCGGGTTGTGTTTCAGGGATAACCGGAGCAGCCGCTCCGCGAAGTCCGCGCGGAGGATGAACAAAAACCGCAACGACGACAGCCGATTCCGGCTGAGGTCGATCGCCAAGAGGGTTTTCTGGAAGTGATGCCGCCGCAGGGCGTCGATCAAGGCCTCGGCGTTGCCGATCTCGCATCCCTGAAACCCCAGCGATCGCACGACGACGCCGTCGCGGGGGATCCGCTCGTCTTCCGCCTCCCCGGCGAGGCCCCGACGAAACCGCCCTTCCACGCGAAACACCTCGACCATCCACGCGAGCACCGCGACGAGCTGCTCCGCCAGGGCAGGGCGGCTGAGGTCGAGCTCCTTCGCCGTCAACTTCCCGGGCACCACGGGGCCCGTCGCGCCGAA